CAGCAGTAACCTTTTTCTTTCGTTTTTTCTTTCTATGTTTATTCCGTGCAGTTATTTGTTTTTTTTTCTTTCTTTCTTTCTTTTTCTTTCTTTCTTTCTTTCTTTCTTTCTTCACTGATCATTTCACTTACAGCAGTAACCTTTTTCTTTCGTTTTTTCTTTCTATGTTTATTCCGTGCAGTCATTTGTAGATTTTTTCTTTCTTCTTTCTTTCTTTCTTTCTTTCTTTCTTTCTTTCTTTCTTTTTTTTTCTTTCTTTCTTCACTGATCATTTCACTTACAGCAGTAACCTTTTTCTTTCGTTTTTTCTTTCTATGTTTATTCCGTGCAGTTATTTGTAGATTTTTTCTTTCTTCTTTCTTTCTTTCTTTCTTTCTTTCTTTCTTTCTTTCTTTCTTTCTTTCTTTCTTCACTGATCATTTCACTTACAGCAGTAACCTTTTTCTTTCGTTTTTTCTTTCTATGTTTATTCCGTGCAGTTATTTGTAGATTTTTTCTTTTCTTCTTTCTTTCTTTCTTTCTTTCTTTCTTTCTTTCTTTCTTTCTTTCTTCACTGATCATTTCACTTACAGCAGTAACCTTTTTCTTTCGTTTTTTCTTTCTATGTTTATTCCGTGCAGTTATTTGTAGATTTTTTCTTTCTTCTTTCTTTCTTTCTTTCTTTCTTTCTTTCTTTCTTTCTTTCTTCACTGATCATTTCACTTACAGCAGTAACCTTTTTTCTTCGTTTTTCTTTCTATGTTTATTCCGTGCAGTTATTTGTAGATTTTTTCTTTCTTCTTTCTTTCTTTCTTTCTTTCTTTCTTTCTTTCTTTCTTTTTTTTTTCTTTTTCACTGATCATTTCACTTACAGCAGTAACCTTTTTTTTCGTTTTTTCTTTCTATGTTTTCCGTTCCGTTATTTGTAGTTTTTTTCTTTTTTTTTTTCTTCTTTCTTTCTTTTCTTTCTTTCTTTCTTTCTTTTCTTTCTTCACTGATCATTTTCCTTTTAACCTTTTTCTTTCGTTTTTCTTTCTATGTTTATTCCGTGCAGTTATTTGTAGATTTTTCTTTCTTTTTTTTTTCTTTCTTTTTTTTTCTTTCTTTCTTTTTTCTTTCTTTCTTTCTTTCTTCTGATCATTTCACTTAAAGCAGTAACCTTTTTCTTTCGTTTTTCTTTCTATGTTTATTCCGTGCAGTTATTTTATAGATTTTTTTTTTCTTTCTTTCTTTCTTTTCTTTCTTTCTTTCACTGATCATTTCACTTTCCTTTTTTTTTTCGTTTTTTTCTTTCTATGTTTATTCCTTTCAGTCATTTTTTTTCTTTTTTTCTTCTTTTTTTTTCTTTCTTTCTTTCTTTCTTTCTTTCTTTTCTTTCTTTCTTTCTTTCTTTTCTTCACTGATCATTTCACGTACAGCAGTAAACTTTTTTTTTCGTTTTTTTTCTTTTCTATGTTTATTCCGTGCAGTTATTTGTAGATTTTTTTCTTTTTTCTTTCTTTCTTTCTTTCTTTCTTTCTTTTCTTTCTTTTTTCTTTCTTCACTGATCATTTCACTTACAGCAGTAACCTTTTTTCTTTCGTTTTTTTCTTTCTATGTTTATTCCGTGCAGTTATTTGTAGATTTTTTTCTTTCTTTCTTTCTTTCTTTCTTTCTTTCTTTCTTTCTTTTCTTTCTTTCTTTTTCTTCACTGATCATTTCACTTACAGCAGTAACCTTTTCTTTTCTTTCGTTTTTTCTTTCTATGTTTTATTCCGTGCAGTTATTTGTAGATTTTTTCTTTCTTCTTTCTTTCTTTCTTTCTTTCTTTCTTTCTTTCTTTCTTTCTTTTTTGTTCATTTCATCATTTCACTTTGCAGTAACCTTTTTCTTTCGTTTTTTCTTTCTATTTTATTCCGTGCAGTTATTTGTAGATTTTTTCTTTCTTCTTTCTTTCTTTCTTTCTTTCTTTCTTTCTTTCTTTCTTTCTTTCTTCACTGATCATTTCACTTACAGCAGTAACCTTTTTCTTTCGTTTTTTCTTTCTATGTTTATTCCGTGCAGTTATTTGTAGATTTTTTCTTTCTTCATTCTTTCTTTCTTTCTTTCTTTCTTTCTTTCTTTCTTTCTTTCTTTCTTTCTTTCTTTCTTCACTGATCATTTCACTTACAGCAGTAACCTTTTTCTTTCGTTTTTTCTTTCTATGTTTATTCCGTGCAGTTATTTGTAGATTTTTTTCTTTTTCTTTCTTTTCTTTCTTTCTTTCTTTCTTTCTTTCTTTCTTTCTTTCTTTCTTTTTCTTCACTGATCATTTCACTTACAGCAGTAACCTTTTTCTTTCGTTTTTCTTTCTATGTTTATTCCATGCAGTTATTTGTAGATTTTTTTTTCTTTCTTTCTTTCTTTCTTTCTTTCTTTCTTTTCTTTCTTTCTTTCTTTCTTTCTTTCTTCACTGATCATTTCACTTACAGCAGTAACCTTTTTTCTTTCGTTTTTCTTTCTATGTTTATTCCGTGCAGTTATTTGTAGATTTTTTTTTTTCTTCTTTCTTTCTTTCTTTCTTTCTTTCTTTCTTTCTTTCTTTCTTTCTTTCTTTCTTCACTGATCATTTCACTTACAGCAGTAACCTTTTTTCTTTCGTTTTTTCTTTCTATGTTTTATTCCGTGCAGTTATTTGTAGATTTTTTTTTTCTTTCTTTCTTTCTTTCTTTCTTTCTTTCTTTCTTTTCTTTCTTTCTTTCTTTCTTTCTTCACTGATCATTTCACTTACAGCAGTAACCTTTTTTCTTTTTTTTTTCTTTCTATGTTTATTCCGTGCAGTTATTTGTAGATTTTTTCTTTCTTCTTTCTTTCTTTCTTTCTTTCTTTCTTTCTTTCTTTCTTTCTTT